AAAAAAAAAATAAGAAAAACAACAAGGTAAAATAAAAAAAACTTTTAGCTGGAATAGAACCCACATCATCATTGATCCTTGAAAGACGATAAAAGCGTGCTCATTCACCAATCGACCACGAGCACTACGATAATGACAGTGAAAATGTCGGGTCATATCAATGATTGTAAATAGTTTTAACCTTACCCATGCATTAAATTATAAAAATACGTATACCGACACAAGAATGAAAATACCAATGTGAATGTGGTGGACGAATATTTTTATACACAGTAATATGAAATTACCCACACATGTTCACTGTGTAAAAGATAGTAGTGTCGATGTGTGGCGCCGCTAACTAATTAGCGGTGTTTTGTGTACATTGATAAAGTTAAAAATAAATCACAAAATAAACGACAAAATTTGAATATTTTTTATTTGTTGCTTTAGAAATTTAGGTAAACATTCTGATTGACGATGCTTCTTAACTGATTAATTCCCAAGCGGTCCCAGGGACCACTCTTTACTAACTCCGTTATAGACCTTATTTCCGATGTTTAGACACTACTTTTATAATATAACATAACATAACATCACGCCTTTTATCCCTGAAGGGGTTTTTATTATTATTATTTTTTAAGGGGGGATATCATCGAATGACTGCTCCCGCCTGAGTGAGGCGGGAGGGAGTGTCAGATTTTTACTAACTAAAAAGCACCCCGTTCCTTCTCCTGCACGTCGAGCCGGAGCCCCGGTTACCCGTTAGGTTCTCCGCGACTTCCCCTAAGGGGTAGGCAGACGTGCACATTCTGCCACTGTACAATGTAACACCCACTTTTCACTATTTATGTTATGAGTCCCATGTAATAGGGGGTCAGCCTGTTGCCATATACCGGGCTCATTTCCAGACTCCGTGCTACTACTGAGATTTTTTTAAATAACCCGGCTTTGCCCGACCCGGGAATCGAACCTGAGAACCCTTGCCTGGCAGTCGCACTTGCGACCACTCGGCCAACGAGGCAGTCTACTTATATACTACTTTTAAATGGTCAATTTTGGGGATAAAACCAAATGAAATCATATTCATTTGTTCAGTAACTTACCTCGCAGAGTATGATCCCAAAGGAGAAGACGTCCACCTTCTCATCATACACGTTCCCGTTCATCATCTCCGGCGCCATCCAGTACGGGTTGCCGACCACCTGCGGAAAGTCACAATATTTATATAAATCTATTTTGACATCTATCGCGTTCGTGATAAGGTTTATATATTTTGGTAGTTGTATGAAAGGTTTCCAACGCGCCTCTATATTCAAAACAGGAGGTCTCAGTTTGATATGTATGTTTGTGCGCGATTAACTTTCGATTGGCTGAACGGATTTTGATGCGGTTTTCAGAAAAGTGTTTGTTACTCTTAGAAGGTTTAAATACATAATTATATTATTTAACCGACTTCAATAGCAGGGGGAGTTGAAATCGGTTTTTTAAACGTAGTTTAGGGGGCGTCTATGAATTACGTGAGGTGTTTTTTTTTATTGTCTGTCCTTCCCCCCCATCCCCCAATATCACGTGGGATTTTTCAAAATGTTGGTTTTTCACGTAAAATCTTAAGCATGTACAATCTGGAATAAATGAACTATGAAGTCGGTAAAAATAGTTTTTTTTTTCTCAGAAAAAAAATACGTGATATTTGTCGAGACCCCCTCTCTCCAACGTAAGATTAGATGAGATTTGAGTTTACCCCTTCCCCCCTTAAAGATCTAGGACGTACGACGGATCGTAATTTATGGACGAAAATATTTTAATGTTTTTTTTACATATCCGATAGCTAATATTGTATGTAGTTACCGTATACCGCTTCCGCCTCAGCGTCCCAGTCCGCGGCGGGGCGCCCGGGCTGCCGGTGTCGGCGGTGCGCTGTACTATGCGCGCTAGACCGAAGTCCGCCACTATCACTGTCTTATCCTGCGACATAAATAAAATGAAACTCTTTCCGCACAGTTTCCTTTTGTCTCTAAACCTTTACTACAGATTTTAATTATAAAAACATAATTAACCCTTTGAGTACCGTCATTATAGACACAATTAAAGAACAATAGGTTCCGGTCACCGGTGTCCGCATGGTGTTTGACAGTTTAAAAACGGTTTTAAACCTACTTTCAAGCCTCAAATGCTTCAAGGAGTAACTTTGTTAAATGTAAGAACTATATTATTATATACTAGCTGTTGCCCGTGACTTCGTTCGCTTAGAATAGAGATTCACAGCTCTTCCCTCGTAGATGATAGCGTGATAATATGTGGCCTATATGTTGACCTGACCTGTTAGTAATATTCATGCAAAATTTGAAGTAAATCCTTGCAGTACTATTGGAGATCATCCCGGACATACATACAGACAAACAGATAAAAATTCCAAATACCATATATTTGGCTTCAGTATCAAAAAAATAATTTTAATGTACAGTTCTGACTATTCTACGATTTTATTATAGATATAGATGATATATTTTAAAAACATGATGTAAAGCCTCACCTCCCTGACGAGACAGTTGTGCGAGTTGAGGTCCCTGTGTATGACGTTCCTCCTGTGGAGGTACCCGAGCCCGGCCGCCACGTCCCGCGCCAGGCGGGCGCGGACCTCCCAGCTCAGGGGGACCGAACTGTCCTACAATATAAATAAGAAAAAAGTTTTATACGTAACACAAAGAACCCCGCGACTCGAGCTATTGCACTCGGTTCACGGCATTTTAACGAAGTACTGAGCAGGGACTGAATAACCGAAAAATTACGATACCTTTAAATTGCGGTATGACGTCATACCGTTAAATAACGGTTACCGCTTAATTTCGGTATCGAAATTTAATTTCGGTACCGCTATTTTTGGGTATGAAATGAAAACCGGTATATTTCGGTACCAGTATCCTAACCTGAATAATAAAGGTATGAGAGAGATATTGACCGCGCTAGATCATCTATCCTATTTCATCGCATTGCATTAGTTTGGCTTGTTCTCTGGACACAATCACATGCGGCTCGCGTTATAATATTTTATGGTGTGCTGAGTTGAATTGAGATAACAATTATTAACAATGTCAAATAACGCACGAAAACTTATAATAACAGAAATAAGTAAGTATATGTACTTATTACTACTTATGTAATCTGATAATAACATACTTCTAGTTGACACGTAACGAGTACTAAGTACTAGTATCTTACCTACTCGTTGTCGACGCGTACGGCACGCGGCGGCGATCTAACGCCAGTAGACACGCTCACACACAGACGCTGCGTGCGTACTATTTTATTACACTTTTTATGTTATTACACTATAGCTCATTACTATAGTTTATTATAACGTAGTGTGTTATAATATTTTTTTTACCTTATAGGTATATATTTTCACGACATTTTTGTCAAAAATTGGTTAAATGCCTAA